GTCACAGACATGTGTTATCATTGGTCATAGGCATGTGTAATCACTGGTCACAGACATGTGTTACAATTTGTCACCAGACATGTGTTATCATTGGTCACAGACATGTGTTGTCATTGATCACAGACATGTGTTATCATTGGTCACAGACATTTGTTATCATTGGTCACAGACATGTGTAATCATTTGTCACAGACATGTGTTATCATTGGTCACAGACATGTGTTATCATTGGTCACAGACATGTGTTATCATTTGTCACTGACATGTGTTATCATTTGTCACAGACATGTGTTATCATTTGTCACAGGTATGTGTTATCATTTATCACAGACAGGTATTATCATTGGTCAGACATGTTATCATTGGTCACAGACATGTGTTATCATTTGTCACAGATATGTGTTATCATTTGTCACAGACATGTGTTATCATTTGTCACATGTGTTATCATTTGTCACTGATTTGTGTTATCATTGGCCACAGACATGTTATCACTGGTCACAGACATGTGTTATCATTTGTCACAGATATGTGTTATCATTGGTCACAGACATGTGTTGTCATTTGTCACAGGTGTTATCATTTATCACAGACAGGTATTATCATTGGTCAGACATATTATCATTGGTCACAGACATGTGTTTTCACTGGTCACAGACATGTGTTGTCATTTGTCACAGGTGTTATCATTTATCACAGACATGTGTTATAACTGGTCACAGACATGTGTTGTCATTTGTCACAGACATGTAATATCATTGTTCACAGACATGTGTTATCACTAGTCACAGACATGTGATATCAATGGTCAAAGACATGTGTTATCACTAGTCACAGACATGTGTTATCAATGGTCAAAGACATGTGTTATCATTTGTCACAGACATGTAATATCATTTGTCACAGATATGTGTTATCATTGGTCAGACATGTCTTATCATTGGTCACTGACATGTGTTATCATTTGTCACAGACATGTGTTATCATTGGTCACAGACATGTGTTATCATTTGTCACAGACATGTGTTATCACTGGTCACAGACATGTGTTATCATTTGTCAAAGACATGTGTTATCACTGGTCACAGACATGTTATCAATGGTCAAAGACATATGTTATCAATGGTCATAGGCATGTGTTATCATTTGTCTAAGACATGTGTTATCACTGGTCAGACATGTGTTATCAATGGTCACAGACATGTGTTATCAATGGTCATAGGCATGTGTTATCATTGGTCACAGACATGTTATCATTGGTCACAGACATGTGTTATCACTGGTCACAGACATGTGTTATCACTGGTCACTGACATGTGTTATCAATGGTCACAGACATGTGTTATCATTGGTCATAGGCATGTGTAATCACTGGTCACAGACATGTGTTACAATTTGTCACCAGACATGTGTTATCATTGGTCACAGACATGTGTTATCATTGATCACAGACATGTGTTATCATTGGTCACAGACATTTGTTATCATTGGTCACAGACATGTGTAATCACTGGTCACAGACATGTGTTATAATTTGTCACCAGACATGTGTTATCATTAGTCACAGACATGTGTTATCATTGGTCACAGACATTTGTTATCATTGGTTACAGACATGTGTAATCACTGGTCACAGACATGTGTTACAATTTGTCACCAGACATGTGTTATCATTGGTCACAGACATGTGTTATTATTTGTCACTGACATGTGTTATCATTTGTCACAGACATGTGTTATCATTGGTCATAGATGTGTGTCATTTGTAACAGATATGTGTCTATCATTTGTTAGTTGTTTTAGAATTATTTTTAATTTATCATATTTCATACATATAAACCTTATTATTTTTTATCATCTTTTCGTATATGTGTTAGTATTTGTTATAATTTGTTAGATGAGTGTTTGTATCATTTTTCATGGATAAAATGTGTTATCATTTGTTTGCATTGATGTGTGTTAATCATTTGTTAGTAAATGATTTGTGCTTTTATCATTTGTCATACATCTGTGCTATTACACCAGTGAACCCTCTGTTTCTTCTGAAACTACTCGATTTTATTTCAATCGATACAAATTTTTGATGATATAAGAACATTTTTGATAGATTGAGGGACGTTCCGTTATACTACGAGTAGTTCTGTTGTATTCAGAGAGGTTGGCGAGTATTCAGAGACGTATGTGAGTACTAAGAGATAACGATGAGAGTAAGAGAATTTTAGCTAGCCGCCGATCTCGATCGCTGGTGGGCACATTTCACGCTGCTACGGCCCGACTGATTTTCATTTACCTGTGCTGGTCACGAACCCAATGTTAACACTGCCATGTAACATGTACATTAAGGAATATTGGTAATAAAACAGTAAATGTTATGATTTGCATATGTACAATATCCAAAAAAGGCCTTAAAGTTTCTTAAATATATCACGGTGGTCGCCACATGCACTGGCACCATTAGGGAAAGTAAAACATGATTGGCAATTTGAAACTGCTGTTGGCGAAAATGCCAATGATGTGCTTTTATTTCAGTTACTTCAGACAATAGGGGAAAAAAACTTTGGCGATAACTGTTTCTTGAGCAATCACTACAGGTAAACGTTTAGCCCCCGACAACGCTGTCCAGTCAGCCGTGACATCCTAGTACATTTGAATGACAAGGTCAGGTATTGGATCTGTTTTGTGTTTTGTCAAAATGGTCAACCTGTCAACACAACGACACAGCACGATATCAGCAATTATCTAATTATCCAATTATGGCTACGTTGTCTTGTTCCGATGGGTGTCTGTGGAGAACAATGGGGTAAGTCAGGGTCGGGGTAATTAGGGTCGGGGTTAGTCAGAGTCGGGGTAAGTCTGGGTCGGGGTTAGTCAGGGTCGGGGTAAGTCAGGGTCGGGAAAAGGGTTCTTTTAATTGGATTAGAGTAGATAAATCCCAGGAAGGACTAATGGTGCCAGTGCACGTGGCGACCGCCGTGATATATTTAAGAAACTGTAAGGCCGTTTTCGGATATTGTACACATGCAAACCATAACATCAACTGGTTTATACTCAACCCTCCTAAATGTACATGTTACAGGCAGCGCGACCGTCGCAGCGAGAAAAGTGCCGGCGAGCAATCGAGATCAGCTGCTAACTAAAATTTGGCTTGGTGCCCACAGGTAAATAAGTTCCAACCTGTGAATACAACAGAACTTCTTGTAGTATAACGGAACGTCTGTTATTCTTACAGAACATCCCTAGATCTATCAAAACAGGTCCTAATATCATCAAAAAGTCGTAATGATTAAGAGTAGATTCATAGAAATGTATTCCCTAGTGTTATTTCAATATAGGCGCTAGCATTTGTTACAATTCGTCAGATGTACGTTTTAATATAATATTTGTAATTGACTCATATGCATCATCATTTGTTAGCATTTATATGTTAGTATTTGTTATAATTTGTAAGATAGGGTTTATCATTAAATATGTATGTCATAATTGGTCACATATCAAGTTTATACGCATCATTAACTGAAATTTCATTTCAGTTTTTGTAACAATTTTTGTCACAGGTGTGTGGTTTAATAGTTCTGATATATAATATTTATGTTACAGCTGTTCTACCTTTCCTGGAACCACCACACGTTCTGGAGTCGGAGATTTTTTGTCGCTGTCTCCGCTGACAGACACATTATCAAGGTCGGATATAGACGAGGCATCACTCATGTGTTTCTGTGTAGAAAAGATAACAAAATAATAAACATATTTTTCATAAATCTATATATTAAATACATCTCTTTGATATTTATTGAGGAAAGGCTGAATATAATTAAAACTGGATGATTAATGCCAGGAGTACGAAGGGTGTCAGTAAGATACTCATAAGATACTCAGCAAATACTCAAAGGTACTCAGCAAATACTCAGAAGATACTTAGCAAATACCCAGCAAATATTATTAATATAAGATACTCAGTAACTACCCAGAAAATGCTAAGATATTCAGCAAATACTCACAATATACTCAGCAAATACTTTATAAGATACTCAGCAAATACTAAGAAGATACTCAGCAAATACCAAGCAAATACTAAGATGCTCAGTAGATACCCAGCAAATACTAAGATTCTCAGTAAATACTTGGTGGATTTTCAACAAATATTAAGTGGATACTCATCAGATTATGCTCATTAGACACTAATACTCATAAGATATTCAGCAAATATTATGCAAATACATACAAGATACTTTAATTTGTAAGTACTTTTAGTAGATACTAAACGGACTCACACTGAACACTAGATCAGTATATACTTACTTGTGTAAAGTGATTTATAGTGTACAGACGTATCAACAGAAATTTCAAAACTTTATTACTGCATTATAATGTTCGAAACATTGAGGTGCTTTAAAACTAGTTGATAGAGTTAGCAGCATGTTTTGGCTGGTTGCCATGACAATCTATACACAAACCTTCATTTGCATTATGTCCTCATCCTCTCCCAAGTCCTCAATGACTTCTACGACCTCTGCCTTAGCCTCCAGGATGAGGTCAACAAGGTCAGATTTGTCCGTGTAGTCGCGGATGAATGGATGCTGAAATCACATGGGAATTTCTTATGAAAACGAATCAGGGGAGGTAACTATGAAATTCCTGAAGAAGTTACCATGAGAATCTCACTGCTATACCTACGCAGGGGAGGTTACGATGAAACCATACAAGGGAGGTAACTATGACAGAGAAAATCACCAAGACATTTCACTGGAATTTAACCTTAATCATCCAATCAACATAAACCGATTCCTTGCATGACTAATTTGATACATAACAAAGAAACACAAATTCCAAAGTAAGATAAATTTTCATGCAGGTTTCGTCCACACATAACAAGGTTGAAGATGTATGGCACACAATAACCTAACCAGTAACATACATTGTGTGTATTTAACATTTATATATTACCATCAACAGTTCCTCAGCTGTGGGTCTCAGATCTGGACTCTTCACCAAACACATGTTCACAAAATCCTTGAAGTCTTTGGACCTGCATTGAATTTTTTGTTTTGTTGATGATCCTATATTATGTAGCACTACAATTGCTATGGGTGGAGATTGGCAATGATAAATAGACCATTTACCCACTCTCACACTATTTAATTTTGGTGACAGATCATTATGAATATATCACATCAAATACAATCATTGTTTTCTAATATTCATTTTTTTAATAAACAATTTTCAATTTTAATTTGATTTTTTTATTGGTGTTGGAAATCATAAAAGAAATCTTACATCATTATTAGAAGACCTTTCATGCATGATTATCAATCGTAATTGAATTATCTCAACTTTTGTGAATTCATTTGACATAAAACACTGTAATAACGATGTTTATCATTAAACTGTTTCGTATCGGGATTTGAAATGTAATTTGGAGCTGATACTATAAATTTAACTGGTTTTTTTTTACATTTTCATCTTAAAAGTTTAAATTTAGCTGACCAGAAATCAATAAAGGGCGAATTTGCCTCTAAACTATTGCTCAAGTATCATTTTACATAGAAGATCGATACAAATTTACAGAAAACAACAAGCAATAATTTCAACCAATTTATCTATTACAACCAATTTATCTATTACAGAATTTCACAAATGATTAATTGCAATCAATTGTGTGATAAGTCCTATCTTAATAAAAAATAATAATAAAAGCCCCTATTCTATTTCATAAACTTCTGATTAATATACAAATGTGTATTCCTATCATCTGGAGACCAGTCTGGGTGTAAGTTCTTACCATCGCGATGGTTTGGAAAGTTGAGGAGGGTCTGACTTCTGTATTTTGATAAGGACTCTCATAGGGTGCATGTCATGATTAGGAGGCTCCATCTGGGCAAACTCGATCAGAGTTACACCTATAAATGAACACAAACAATAGGTCATTAAATCATTACCTCCCTTGACAATAGGAAACTACCTTAACCCATATATTCATGATTACAAAAAAAGCCTCATAAACAGTTTCTCGCTTTAATGTCAATTCCAGTTCCAGTACACGGATATATGCATGAATTGTTGAATGGTTTTATATCTTATTAAACAATGAAAATCTGTATCAATCTATATCTGTTACCTACATACATCATCACTATTGACAACAAGCTGACTAACAGCCAAGCTGTCCTACCATATTGTGTGCATCCCGATTAATCTGACCTATACCTGACAATCCCAGCCTAACTTCAGATTGGTTCAATACCAGGTTTCTACAACCATTAAACTGGTTTTAGTTCATGGGGTTGCACAGCACCATAGCTATTATCATAATGCCGGTTTTATTTGGTTACTTGCAGTTAAACTATCATTTAACCATTTTTTCCGTTTTGGGAGATGATTTTCTCCAGATGCTTTTCAGCTGTAGTAATCCTTAAATTTATAATTATTTGTATGACATTTACGAGGTATACTGACCAAGAGACCAAATGTCAGCCTGCGTGTTGTAAGGACTGTCCTTCAGCGTCTCGCACATGATTACCTCCGGGGCCATCCTGTCAAAACAATCGTAGTTTAATTACATATTTACCAGTAAAAAGGAGGAATCATCAGTATGATAAAAGTAATGTCTTTTCTGCAGTGAAGCACAAAAATATGTGTAATCTTCAAAAAATTGATTGTAGCATCATCATACCAGGTTGACATACGATAGCGATGTCTTATCAAACATTAAGACAATTTATTTCTGACCGTTCACAAGTAATCTAATCTTACAGGAAACATAAGCAATTCCAATGGTTTCTCTTTCAATGGCATTCCTCTATCACTTGTATGTATTTTCTCATTTGTACTTGTATTTTCGGAATATAGGAAGTACAATGGGAAACCATTGGTTAACCTATAAAATCGTTCAATGAGTAAATGCAAACAAGAGGACGAGAGCCGAGGGCCTGTATCGCTCACCTGAATATGTTTAAAACAAGAGGCCCAAGAGGGCCTGTATCGCTCACCTGAATATTTAAGCAGTCATAGCAAAATATTCTCATTAAATATTATATTGCACTAAAAATATTTCCCTCGCAAACTTTGCTGGCTCCATCTGTTGAAACTACCAGCAACATATTATTACAAGATTCTACGCTTTTTGATTCTTCAGAGGTTGCTTGACATATTTTTCCCTGTGACCTTGTAAGTAGGTCAATGTCATTTTCCTTCTCAAATTGGTAAGCTCTATTCTAAAAGCTACCAGCTAAATCTTATGAATCCATTCCTTTTAGTTCTTAAGATCAAATCCATTAAAATGTTGTTGACCTCTGTGACCTTGAAAGTAGGTCAAGGTCACTTTCATTCGCAAACTTTGTTGGGCTCTTTCCCAGGAAATAACCAGCCGAATATTAAGGTTCTATAACTTCAAATTCTTCAGAAGAAGTCATTTGAAGTGTTTGACATATCTGCCTGATGTGACCTTTAAAGTAAGTCAAGGTCATTTTAATTCTCAAACTTTGTTGGGCTCTTTCCTAGGAAGCTACAAGCCAAATACAAAGATTCTATACCTTTCAGTTGATCAGAAGAAGTCGTTTGAAGTGTCTGACACATTTGACCCCTGTGACCTTGAAAGAAGGTCAAGGTCATTTTCTTCCTCAAACTTTGTTGGGCTCTATCCTAGGAAGCCATCAATTAAATATAAAGATTCTATACCTTTCAGTTCTTCAGAAGAAGTCATTTGAAGCTATTGACACATTTGACCCCTATGACCTTGAAAGTAGGTCAAGGTAATTTTCATTCTCAAACTTTGTTGGGCTCCATCCCAGAAACCAATCAGCCAAATATGAAGATTCTATACCTTTTAGTTCTTCAGAAGAAGTCATTTGAAGTGTTTGACACATTTGACCCCTGTGACCTTGAAAATAAGTCAAAGTCATTTTCATTCTCAAACTTTGTAGGGCTCCTACCAACAAAGCTTTCAGCCAAATATGATGACTCTAGGCCTGTCCTTTCTTCAGAAGAAGTTGCATTGTTTAAAGGAAAAGTTGACAGACGAGGGCGGATGATTGACGCCACACCACGACATAAGCTCACTTGCCCTTCATGCAGGTGAGCTAATAATTGGTATAAAGTAAAGATATAGCACTCTATGGTAGGTGCTGTATGTACATAGGAAATTTCAGAAAGATCCATCCAGTACTTGAGATATAGCAAGGACAAACTTCAAATAGAGCCCCTCCCTAGGGGGGATCATACCCACCGTTTATACAAGAATTTTAAAGGTTTTACCTCTATTTCTCCTATGGAGCCTCGCCCTTCTGCCTTCTGGGAGACCACACCCACTACTTATACAAAATTGAGTCCCCTTGGCCCAAGGATGCTCCAGACTAAATTAGGATAAAATCCCTTAAACCCTTTGGTAGAAGAAAGATTTTAAAGGTTTTACCTCTATTTTACCTATTGGGCCCCGCCCCTCAGGTCCCAGGGGGGCCATACCAAATTTGGACAAAAACCTTTCATTCCTACAGAATAAGAAGGATTTTAAAGAATAATTTGCTATGTTTCCCCTATTGGGCGGGGCGCCCCTGGCAGACCAGACCAATGGTTTATACAAAATTGGTTCCCCTTTACCCAAGGATGATCCACACCAAATATGGACCAAATATTTTAAAGAATAATTTGCTATGTTTCCCCTTTTGGGCCCCGCCCCTCAAGTCCCTGGGGGGCCAGACCAACGGTTTATAAAAAATTTGGTTCCCCTTCACCCAAGGATGCTTCAGACCAAATATTGAACAAATCCTTTCATCCTACAGAAGGAGAAGGATTTTAAAGAATTTGCTATATTTCCCCTATTGTGCCCTGCCCCTCAGCCTCCAGGGGGGCCAGACCCACCATTCATACAAAGTTGAGTCTCCTTTGCCGAAGGATGCTCCAGACCAAAGGACTTTGTATGGTTTGGGCCTTTTATGGCCCCCAAATCCATCAAAATTATAAATCTGCAATAGAACTTTCAAACGACTGTTTCTTTAATTTTGAATACTTCCCAAGTACTATTATGCAAACATTTATTTGTGTTTTCAATTTTGGCTGCCATTGTATCCAGGTCATATTTGCATAAATTATTGAAATTTGAATATTCAGTCAATTTTGACAGGTTTTCACCTAGTTTTTCTCTTAGCTACCATAGAGCACACTCTTGAACAAAATTTATATTTCTCCTCAAGATGTATTACAGGTGCCTACACATTATCCTTTGATATTAAGTTTGTTCGAGTATGCGCTTTATAGTTTCTAGGAGAAAAACTATGCAAAATATCCCAATACTCACTGAATATTCCTTTTTTCTAATTAATGCAAATTTGAACTTGTTACCATGGCAACAATAATTAGAAATATAAATAAATATTTTCATAATAGTATTTGGGAAGTCTTCGAAATTAAAGAAACAGTCATTTCAAAGTTCATTTAAAGGTTTTGAATTTTGATGTATTTGGGGGCCAAAACAGGCCCAAATCATACATAGGCCTTTAGTCCAAATCTACTGGGCCGTTCAAGACAAGTAGCGTTTTAAAGGCCAACCCACAACCCCAACGCAAGGAACCGATGAGGGACTTATAAACTGTAAATAGCGCAAGACAACAAGGGATTTAAGTGAATACAATTTTTCTGCAAAATATACAAAATTTACAACAATTATTTTGAACCAAGAGTAACACTTGATTTCTAATTACAGAAGGTTTTACAATGTGAATGTGGCTTCACTTACCAGTAAGGAGTCCCAATGAACGAGTCTCTTCGCTGGGCAGTTCGATTATTCTTGGCCGATACACCAAAATCAGCTGAATGATATAATAGAAAGGTCGTCAATAATTTGGTGAATTAACAAAGATTTCATTGCCACTAACAAATACCTAACAAGAGTTAAGTAGAAACCTTTATTCAAGAATCAAAATTCAACTGAACTGTTTTCTGAAATGTGTCCTTTCCAGATGCTGATCAGTAAAGATCTACAAGATGCCTTTCAGAGGCAGGATGTTGAGTGTAAATTTTAGTGTGTGATGGTATTGCTATAAAATTTTACAATTTATGAAACAGAGATTTGTTTTTGTGAACAAAAACATATGTCTCCCCTTTAACAGTTTAAAAGATACGACCCAGACAAGATGTTCCTGAAAAGTATGCACTTATTTGACCTTTAACCTCTAAATCAAGGTCACAGTAATCTAACAACTACATCGTCTGTGGGTGATGCAGATATACTACAAGTTTTCTCAGGATATCTTTAACTTAGTACTTATTTGACCTTATTTATAGAGGATCTGCCTATTGCTAAATTATAAAATCCATATACCAATGAACAAATTCTAATTGTAATAGGGACTATTACAGAAGTCCTCAAAACTGACCCCATAGTCACAAATGATGCTTGGATAGAGTTTACAATTCCACCACATACTAAGTTAAAGCAAAATTAGACACTGTAAGGGACTGTTGGCATCACCTTGGCATACACCATAGCTTTAAATGTTTGAAACAATCAGATTGATTTTAACTTTGACCTTGAGGTAGGGCCACTGTGATCTAATAACACTGCATTGCACATCATCCGTATTATCAGTATTCTGATGTCACAATGTGCACTACGGACCACTTTATGTGAGTTATCCCCACCCCCTATCACATTATCACAATCTGGACAGTCATGTAAACAAGCCATTCGGGTTGATATGGCTCGCCTCTGCCCTGCTTTGACCATTAATGCACATGTCAAGTTTGGTTGGTCTAGCACTTATACTTTCAGTGAAACGAGCTAAATTAAACTCAAAAACTTGGTGTGACTCTGCCACTTTCCCAAGAAAATCAACACCTTATAGGGTACATTTGCGTATCTCGGTTGAAACGGTACAGGTCGCGCAGAAATATTCCACAATAAACGAACGCAATTGGACTGTTCTATAAACAGAGCTAAAAATGCAAAGTTTCACCTGGATATCAAAGTAATCATGGCAAAATATTCTCCAAATAAGATCCAAGGGAATGGGCAAGACCCCATGGCCAATCCTTGTATCATATCTGTATTAAATTTTCCATGCCCAGCAATTTTATGTAATGTTATGGGGTGGGGATCTTAACTGTTTTTAAGGTGTGACTCAGACACTCGGTCCCTAGGGTTGTGTCTAGACCCCAGGATCAATTGTTATATCAGGACTGCATTCGTCTCTTTATGTCCAGCATTTGTATATACTGTTTCTGGGTGGGGATCTCAACTGTTTCAAAGTTATGACCAAGGGGTCTGTAAGGGTGGGGCAGACCCCGGGGTCAATTCTAATATCATGTCTGCATTCGTCTTTTTATGCCCAGCATTTGTATATACAGTTTCGGGGTGGGGATCTGGTGGGGCCAGACCCCTAGGCAATCCTGGAAGCATATGTGCATTCTTCTCCTCATACTCAGCAATTGTATATATATATGGTTAAAGGGTGGGGATCTCAACCATTTCGAAGCAATAAACTATTTTTGGCCCCACCATTTAGCCAAGAGGGGGTTAGCCCCACTACTTGTACAATCTGAATCCCTGCCACCCATGAATGCTTCCAATCAAATATGATTGATGTCCAGTGCATAGTTCTACACAAGAAGTCATTTATAGCAATATAGCCTAGCTGACCCCTTTTGGCTCTGCCCCTTAGCCCCCAGGTCAGCCCCACCAATTGTACAATTTTGAATCCCCACTACCTAGGGATGCTTCAGTAAAATGTGGTTTGATATCCATCACTTAGTTCTAGAGGAAAAGTTGCTTAAAGCAATATAGCCAAATAATCCTTTTTGGCCCCATCCCTGGGCCCCCCTGGGGGTCAGCCCCACCATTTGTACAATTTTGAACCCCATCTCTCATAAATGCTTCTGACCAAATATGATAGATATCCATTGCACAGTCCTACAGAAGAAGTCGTTTATAGCAATATAGCCAAATTGTCCCCTATTGGCCCGCCCCTCAGCCCCCTGGGGGGTAAACCCTCCCATTTGTATAATTTTGAATCCCCACCACCTAGGAATGCTTCCAATCAAATTTAGTTAAATTCCAATCCGTGGTTAAGAAGAAGTTGCTTGAAGAAATTGTTGACGTACAGACGTCTGACGGACGACGGACACCATGGTATGGCATAAGCTCATCACCTTGGTCCTTTGGTCAGGTACATCTGGACCCCTCAATCTTCATGTGCCGAATATTCCTGAGGTCAGCCTTGGTTCAGGTCTGTGCCTGTCATTTTCTTTACAACTGTGTCCAGTGTCAACTGTTTCAACCGGATATGCAAATGTAACCTTAGTCTCGCGTCAAGTTGGTGGCGGCGAGACAAAAAATTGGTATATGAACAAAACCACACTGACAAGAAACATAACCTGCCATTGCTATTAATGTGATACATGTTATTTATTTTCGTAAAGATCGATATGAATATAGTATGTACCTAGTTTGACCTCTCCGTCTAGCGTAAGAAGGACGTTTCCAGCTTTGATATCTCTGTGTATGACATGGCTCTTGTGAAGGAAATTCATGGCCACACACATCTCGTGACAAACGTAGCGGATCATCTTCTCTGTGAGGGGCTTCTCCAGGTCCACCATGATGCTGTCCAAGGCGCCCCCTCCACAAAACTCCAAGTACATCTAAAATCATCAATTTTAAAGAATTGTTAAAAAAAAATCGTCATCTCAGAATTCATATTATCATAGAGATATTGTTGGGCCATAAACATCTTAGCCAGAGTTTTTTCTATGGCTAATTATGGCCCTTGAATTTCCAAAATAGTAATGCATTACACATCCGACAAATGTCACTTACAGGAACAAACTAATTTTTGACCTGGGTGTCTTCAAACATTGGGGGTTTTTTTGCACATGGGATCAATTTTTGCTCTCTAAGTTTTACATTTTAATTTGAACACAGAAAGACTATACAGGATTTATTTGTTACAGAGTTCGATTCTCAGTATTGATTCCATGATGAATTGCCTTCATATGTTAATCAATTCTACTCCTTCAGACAGACCTATTGCAGGTCTAGGACAAATAATCAATATTATCACGTTACGCTTCTTTTTCTTTTCTAAAATCTTAATTGTGAATGCAGATATCAATACTTCAAAATTCCATTTTTTCTTATTTGCTTCTGACAAAGTTTAAGTTCTCCCAAAAAATCAATTTTATAAAATGTAACTTCTAACAATACTCAAGCAACACAGAGTTCATGATGTCAAGAACTCTTCACAGATTCAAAGGAAGTAGGCAAAACAGTGAAGAATTTCACTGTAGCTTTTAATTCCTAGTTACCTCCCCTTATTTTTGTTTTGTATGGTGATCATGCAGAGCTCATGGGTTAGAATCTCAGTCCGGCCCAATAGCATTTTGATCTCTCAGAATATTGTTGATTTTTTTTTTAGTTTAATCCATCTTTAATATTTTTATATTAATATTCTGAAATTTATTGGGGTTGTTCACAAATGATTTTTTGAAGCTTTCGTCATGACAGTTAAAAAGTTTATAAAATCATAGTTACTGTTTGGCAGTGGTGTTGATATCCTGAATATACTAGTACTTTGCTATCACCTGTTTAGTACTATTGTCATTTTCTTGTTTTAAGAAATATTTAAACATTAACTTCGCTCTAAACATCCATCAATCTAATACAGGAAGTAATCCAATGTCTGTGTGTACAACGTTAACATTATACATTTATATTATATCTCCCATAACAATAATTAAAAAGAATTTAATACTTCCTCATATTTGAATTATTCATTTGTTTTTTATTCGGTTATTTCTAAGTCTGTTTTTCACCTTTATATCATCTGGTAGTTCAGGAAACATTTTTTGTCTGTTTGTAATACAGAAGATCTTGACTTATAAGGATTATAACAACTCAGAAATCCTGCCTTTCAACAACACAACAAGCTCCTTATTCATATCTTCTTTGCAAACATGTAATGCAATGACTCACATGTTCTTTAAACTTATTTTTAAACTGCAAATAGAAAATTTACATGACACGTTTGTTTATTTTACAAATTTTGCTGAGGCAGGTTATGTTTTAATTTACCATATTTATCCAGCCATAAGCCCATGCCTGGTAATAAGCCCACCCAAATATAACGCATTTCTGTATAAATACTTACAAATGTTACATCAGTATCCTATAATAAGCCTGTCCCTCTAATTTAAGTCAGAAACTATGAATTGACCCCACATGGGCTTATTGCAAGATAAATATGTAAATAAATGAGGGAATTACAACCTATTGAATGATAATAAGACTAGGTGGCGTGTTCAGAGGAGTTGGAAAATTAGATAAAGGAGGACAATAACAATAACAATAATAATAATAATAATTTGAGGTTCTTATTTACCGCTTAATCACAACCTAGTTTGTAGGTCGTCTCAAAGCGGTTCACAAAGTATAACCTCTGTGCTTAAAGGGCGTTTGCAACCATGGCCAGCCAATATCTTTCTCACCTCCCTGGGAAGCATACAGTATATATACAGCCGGTACTGCCAATTCGGCGCTCACAGCTAGCATTCAACAATTCTAGCACTGCCCAACCACATACTTTGTAACAAGCGAGGTAAAATATCTGGTTCAAAGATACAGCACAGTGTCGTGACATGCCGCAACTCTTCGGTCACAAGCCTGGCATCCTGCCACTAGACTATTGTGCCTCTAATAACAATACTTGGTGGCTTGTTCAAAGAAGCAGATAAAACATAGAAAAGTGGAGATGGAAGTTCTTTCTCGATCATACAGTATAGAAGTCTTGGCTATCACACAATAATCAACTGAAAACTATGTATCAGAGACCATATCACCAAATCACATATCCGAACTGTTGACATTCTAACAAAAGATCTAGTTCCTTGTTTAAATATTTCAAGCTCCACCCAAATCAATGTTTACATTACTAGGACAAAATTCATACCTAGTGTCAAACAGGAAGCAAATGAATGTAAATTCTTGACAACCTGATCTGTCAACAACATACTGTACAGCTGTAGTCACGCTGATGAACAAACAGGTATCCCGATAGATATTTTGATATTGTGATAATTCTATATAAATTGGAATACAGAAACCAAATTTGAGAACATAACACTGTTTCCCCTTATTAAGGTACTCACATACAAAATTTGGTAATTGTAGGCGACTTGTGATATGAGTTAATATGGGAGATACTAAGAATCTCTTGTCATTTTTTTATATACTGTATATCCCCTATCTGATGCATGGTGAACAAGGGGCCATTACTCTAAATATTGTGGGGCACAAGACCAAATTTTAGTATGCAACATTCTGCCATCTAAAAAGGTACCTGCGTCCGTACAAAATTTGGCATCTGTACGTAGGTGACAGAGAATATGAGATATCCCAGGACAAACCGATGCATTGTAATCGAAGGGAAATAACTTCATATATGTTGTAGCACAAGACCAATTTTAGTATGCAACATTCCCTCGTCCGAAAAGGTATAGTACTAACAAACATAATTTGGCGATTGTAGGTGACAGGTCAGGAGTATGAAATATCCCCTGGACAACTGGACAAAATGATTCATGGTAAGCAAAGGACCATATGACTTTATATATATAGTTGGGCACAAAACAAAATTTAACAATGCGAAACTCTTGTCATCCAAAGAGGCATTCAATTTATGACAGGGTATGCGAGATATACCTGTATAAATTGATGCATGTTGAACAAAGGGCCATAACTCTGCATAAAGCTTGGTACAAGATTTGAATTGTACAAGGCACACTGCCACCCAATACTCACATACAAAATCTGACAACTATAGCTGAAATAGTCTAAGAGACGTTTTCAAGACAAAGTGACACATACATTTGGTAGACAGAGAGATGGAATGTAAACCTAGTCTCCTAGTTGTGATGGTGGGAGGCTGATTATTATCATGGAAGCTGTACGTAGGTCATGTAGGCATGCAAACTGATGCAATGTTTTCTGCTTCAGTTACAGAATTCTCTAAATCTGGCAAAATGATGACCATTTCTTCTCCCCCTAGGGTATGACAGATTGCATGCAAAAGAAACATTACTATGACGTCATAATCAGCTCTTGACGGAAAATGTAATGTGCATATCAGGATGACAAAATTAAACAGATTACAAATGCTGGAAACTATTGTTTTAAACATAGTATTGGAATGAGGGGAAAAAACTAATCATCCCCTATACCCTAAGGGTGTCACAGATAAATCTCCAACCCTCCAGGTGATTGTTTGGTTGACCAACCCTGGCCATGGTCTTGGGTTAGACAACTAAATAAATCACCCCTGGGGATGGAGGTTTTTCTATCACACCCTCAAGTTAGAGGAAGATTTTATTATTCCATATGACTGTAATCACGACAGACTTGGCTGTATTTGTATACAATGTAACAGGAAATTTCACTGATACAAAATTATCTTCCGTGGCCCACTGTACAATAAACTAACATATTTGCTATATATATGTGCCCTGGCTTACACAGACAAACAAAAACAAGGAACTGACCACAACTTCATTAAATATTCCCAGATTTAAGCAACATCTACCTTAGTAAATATTATTTCATTGTACACCCTATCGCCTATACTTAAACTTGATCACATAAACCAAGATTGTTGCTATGTTTAATATCTAGGAAAGTCAATATTGCAAAATCTGATAGGCAAACAGATATGTACGGAATGAAAACGACATCTCCCAGTTACACTGAAAACTGTGCATGCTGGATAAGAGATGGAGACAGTAAAATATTTAAAATGTTATTTATATTGAAAATTTTAACAACTCTTTCACAACTCGATTACCGGACAAACAATGTAGCAGGGGCAATCTCCATGGTAACGACCTAATTAATCAATTACCCATAGGTAGGAGTCCCAGTAAAAGGCTTCGTAGAGCGACACAACATTGTGGTGTCGACAGTCCGACAGAATGTCGATTTCCACGGTGAAGTCCTCAAGGTCTTCCTCACTCTTGATCTCAACCTGCTTCAGTGCCGCAAGCTTTCCCGTCTCCTTATTAACGGCCTGAGAAACAAAAAACAAGACAAAATTAAATTAAGATATTTTACTCTTACCCTAATTATTTTTGTCTGTCACAAGGAACATACAACAGAATATATAATTTATAAGTGGTTGAACTTTCATCAATGAAGACCAGTTCAATGATAATTCTTCAATATTTTAATGATCCTCATGATTTATGATTCAATTTGACAGGATTTTGACCTTCTTCTAAAATGGAAGTTTTCAGAAAAAAGTAACACATTTCCTGTGAAAATATATCAGGGTACATATATGTATCACAATGCATTCCTTTTGTATTGCAGTATATCACGATTCAGCCCAGACGTATCCGGATACCCCTAATGATTAGTTAGCTTGTAAAGCCAACATAACACAATCTACATAAGACTGTGACATCTTGCATAAATTTGGGATAACAACCCAGACAACATTTAAGGATAAGACTATCAACTTTTTCTTCTAAATAATTCACAAGAATATACTGTATTTCATTCTGAATTGACCTCATGCATGAACATTTTTCCTCAAGTGTTGAATCCTGCCAAAATATTGAACTTCCTGAGTGTTAAATTTACCCTCCTATTGTTTTAAATCTACATAATATAATAAACTTTCCCCTGTGTTAAATAGCCCTCTCGCTTGTGTAATGGGTAAAGGTTTCTCAGATCAGTAAGCAAGACTGGCTTACAAGTCTTTCAATGTTCCTTTGTAAGATTTTGAATCTTATGACACCAATGGAATGCCTTTTGATAAATAACTGGACAATATTGGCCTCTGAACTAGGGTGTGGACAATTATTGGAATATGGGCAATTAATAGAATTAGTATGGTATGTACAATTTATAATAAGCACACCCCTATAACACCCCCCCACCCCCAATTTTTTTCTGGGGAAAGAGTATGGGTGCACTTAAATAAAACACGTAAACATTTTGCTTACTTCACTGATCTACCAATATATATAGTTGTCAGTCTTTTGACCAAAGACTTAATTGCACCTTTAGCATTTGCATTACTATATTAGCAAAGTAACCCTGTGGTCTTATAGTCACATCATTTTCTGATTCAATATTAGACAAATTGTCTCTGTAAAGTTATTTGATCTATTCTTGGAAAGATTGCACATATGTTTGGGGGGGTAGGTTGTTTGGGGGGTAGGTTTGAACACATTATCGACACCAACAGTTTCAGCCTGTTTGAGCATGAAATATTAAGCGCACCTCTCTTATCAGGATGGTTTGTAATTGCAGGGTGTGCTTATCAGGTCAAATACGCCATGTATATAACTGGTATAGCCTGACCTTTAAGCTCCAGACTCGTTCATCTGTGTATACATATATGTATCAATCACGCCTGTGTAACACTGCACACAAGAGTTCACATGTTTAATTTTCATCTACAGAATAAATTTTAAGCTCCTAATTAAAAACATGTATGCTGTATACATGTCATCAATCAAATGTGTGCGAGATGTAACTATACAAAAAGGAGACCACGATGTATGTAGTAGTCATTTCTTTCCCCATCTAAAAGTTTCTCGGGGAAAATAGCAGTGAGCCAACCCTTACGATGTGTTCTAAATATCAATCTAGAGTTCTGTCCATGCATGAAACTGCTTTCCTCTTAACGTTGTTAAAAACATATGAACATCTTCACTTATAAGTGCATAGCAATAAATATAAGTGTATTTCCTGCTCATTCATAATCGGCTGACAGAGTGCATGAGTGAACACTGCCCATACAACATCAAGCTTAACCTACATTAAACATCCTGTTTATAATTATTTCTTCTAGTTTAAGATTCCTTTATTATTGTAGTATATATTTTCCTGAAATGATGTTATTCAATAATAAGCTGCATCTGCATGGTAATTCATGCACAACTGTCTCGTGAATGGATGAGATACAAAGTGCAGGAAACACACATTAATTCTAACAGTGTTTACATTCATTATAACCCAAGAAGGCCGAGTGGGGTGTTGCTCTATCACTTTTGATTTGCAGTAAGGGCTGCAACGATATGCATATATCACGATAGAATACATATCGCGGTACAATGCTTATGATAATTATAAGATACATATCACGATATAAATATCTGCTTAAAAGGTCAACATCATCATGATTAAGTGCAGGATATTACCTAGTTTTGTCATAGACTTCAATAATGAATACTATCAAAATATATTTCTGTATAATTTCTCGTACTTGTGGGTATGACTGCACAGTGAACCAGATCTTTACTGAAGGATTAAAAAAAATACATAAGTACACTTTTTTAGAAATTGATAAAAATACATTGATGATACAGGCAAATAAAACAATTCAATATGACCCACAAGAAAGTATCGCGACACGATATGTTGTTGCAGGTCTAACTGCAGTATTTCGAGGACACTGTCAGATGTATTCTAACATATTGATGCAATGCAGTCAACTTATTTAATAAAACAGTATATACATACTTTTTCAGTGTGACCTTCAAACGTAAATTCAAAAATTCAAAAACTCATTTTAATGACTATAAGATATTGACTACAAAATATAAACAAGCCTCACCGAGCCACTTATGAAATCACTGATACATATGCACTCCTTTATTGCACGGACGTATATATTCGTTCGCGCAATAAACTCATGCTTTCTGATTCGTTAGAAAAACACAAGTGAGTGGTCTTGCTTTTATCACATACCTTCCGTATTTGGTAAAGTTCGATACAAAGATTTTCTAAAATTTCATATTTTTTGCAAATACCAGGAACTTTACAGTTCGCCATGACAAGGGGATTCCCATAAAAAGTAGTTCCGGCTAGTAGGTAAATACAACATTCCGTATTGCACATGTGCAATACAGAACTTTGTATTTCATGGTCCAAAAATTCTTGTATTACTATAACAAGATTCAACAGGTATATGATAAAACATCAAACCATTGTTTTTTACATCTTGCAATTTGATAACTTGTCTATGTTTAGACAGCTAACATGATACTGTACATTGTATTTAAGCGAGTCTTTTTTGAAGTTTTGTCCATACCAACTCAATTTTGCCGGTCCAATTGAATTAACTTAATATGAAAAAGTTGAACATTATTAAACTGCATTAAACATGAAGCTAGTTTTAATGAAAAGTTTGTCTGTAAACTTAATTTCTCCATTCCAATTGATGTTACTATGCATGGACTTGCCCTAATCACATGAAAAGAGTTGAAAATTAATTCGCAGTAAACATTATAAAGATAGTTTTAATAAAAAATTGTTCATAAACTTATTTTTTCGCTTCCAATCAGAAAACTAAACTTCATTAATATAGCCATTGAACGGTGGGCAATCCTATTTAGTGCTATGGCTTTCTCCCCAAGTCGACCGTGGTAAATACGCTACCACATGTACAGCTGCCTGTATATACAATTGTACATGTATATTATCATTCTGTACCACAGCTACGGTACCACAGCATGTATATTATCAATCTATTTAAATTATGCTGTGACATGCATTTTAAATATTTCAGTCACTTTTAAACAAGGCCTTAAACATCAACTAATCATGGAAGTTGAGCCAAACATTACAGATGCTTTCCTTGTATCTGTTCGAGTCGGCCATACATTCCTACAGTGTGTACATGTACCTTAAGAGGTCTTGATATCTTTTTAAACTAATAATTTAATCATCTGACGTGGTTACAATGTAAAACACGATCACCTCTGCACAGAAATAAAACGGCTAGGATATGTGGATATTATCTGCCATACTTGACATTTCTATATACACAAAATAAAGGACAGATATCAAGGGAAGTCTACTTCTGTGTCGTTGTCCATCAGGAAATTTGAAATTAGTATTCTCAATACTTGTATATGACTTTAAACCTTAGGCAGGCCCATATGGGTTAATGTGTATACAGGTATTCTTTTCTGTATGCCCAGCAATCAAGCACGTGCATGGTTGAAGTGTCCAAGTCTTAACCATTTCCAACTTGTTACCCCTTCTTTGCTCTGTACATGCCTGTGCATCAGCCCCCTGGAGGGACAAGTTTTACCCCTTCTTTGCTCTGTGCATCAGCCCCCTGGAGGGACAAGTTTTACCCCTTCTTTGCTCTGTGCATCAGCTTCCTGGAGGGACAAGTTTTACCCCTTCTTTGCTCTGTGCATCAGCCCCCTGGAGGGACAAGTTTTACCCCTTCTTTGCTCTGTGCATCAGCTTCCTGGAGGGACAAGTTTTACCCCTTCTTTGCTCTGTGCATCAGCCCCCTGGAGGGACAAGTTTTACCCCTTCTTTGCTCTGTGCATCAGCCCCCTGGGGGACAAGTTTTACCACTTCTTTGCTCTGTGCATCAGCTTCCTGGAGGGACAAGTTTTACCCCTTATTTGCTCTGTGCATCAGCCCCCTGGAGGGACAAGTTTTACCCCTTCTTTGCTCTGTGCATCAGCTTCCTGGAGGGACATGTTTTACCCCTTCTTTGCTCTGTGCATCAGCCCCCTGGAGGGACAAGTTTTACCCCTCCTTTGCTCTGTGCATCAACCCCTTGGAGGGGTTTACGTGTACTGCCCTATGAATTTGGTTTTACATTTTTGGCTCATTACCATGCACCTTTGAGTGCTTCAAATCAAATTTGGTTGATATCAACTGGTTCCAAATTAAAGATCGAAGCTAATTTGCTTAAAGCAACATATCCAAATAACGGTAAATCCTTCTTTTATTATGAAAAGTTATTTTTACACGACTAATAAAATGTTCTATGTGACGTTTCGATGACTAGTACAATATGTACACTGTCCCCTTCATCAGACAAAATCTTTTCTGAAAAGATCTTTTCATAATCCAATAATCCATAATTACCAACCTGAAGAAAATGTTTAGAAATAACCCTTCTTTTGACTCAACACCCTCATCTATTCCCAAGTTGGGGAATCAGCCCAACTCTATAAACTTACATATGTGACAGTGTACTTTGAATATACAGCACTTCAAGTAATGATTCAGTCTGATGAAGAAATT